TCCCCCCTTTTACCCTTCGGGGGATGACGCAGGGGCCTTGTTCCCAGCACATGCTAATGGTTGCATAACAGGATGTTAAGACTCGGCACTGCCTCTCTCCGGACCCCTGGGGGGGGGGCGACGAGCGCAAAACATGCCTTCCTCCTCTGTTTCTGCCTCTCCATCTCCATCGCTCGCATTTGCACAGAACAATAGCTCAGCAACTAGTTTAAGGTGAGATGGGAGGGGAAGAAAAAAAAAGAAAAAAATCCTCCCCCTCTCCTTTGTCCTCCCTCTGTTCTCATCTCAGAGGGATTTTCTCAAACGTTTCTTCTTTCCTCCCTCTCTTTCCCTGTGGTTATTTCCCTTAGTGAAAATGGGTCACCTTTCTTCTGTCAGGAGAATGCCTGGGTAAGTATAACCTCTGTATCTGTGTGTGTGTGTGTGTGTGTGCGTATGCAAGGTTTTTACTGTCTAGGGGGGTTCCAAGCCCTGGAAAAGTCATGCAAGGACCATTTTCTGGGTCTCATTAGGGGAAAAGAATAGTCTTTTTTTGGGCCGGGGTTACAGGAGGGTTAGAGTTAGGTTGAAATATGGATTGAGGCTAAGTTGCAGCGACAATTAAAACTACAGCGCTCAAGAGTTTGTGATAAAGTAAAGGGGAATGGTGGCATTTTAAAGAAAGAAAGAATATTTAGCACACGAATAACAAAGCAGCTAACTTAGTTGGAATGTAAGTCATCACACAGTTTGATACTTTTCTTTCGGACTTGAGAAATACCGATTAAAAAGGAAAAAAAAGTTCTTTTTTGTGAAGCTTTAGGAGGTTTGTGTTACAGCAGGGGCCTCCTCCACCTTCTGCTGGCCACAAGATGAGCCATCATCCATTCTAATCATTGATAAACACATGAAACACATCATCTTTAAATCATTGTGTGATTGAAATGTAAAATCTACTCTGAAAATAGCACAAAACGCTCCTTTGTAACATGTGATAACACAACAGGGTGTGTTTTGATCCTTTCCTAAACTTAACCAAGTAGCTGTTATACCTGAAAAACGGGAACAGAAGTGGAAGCCAAAATGAGCCATAATTTTAAAAAATAATACTACAAGAATGGTCAGAGACGTGGATGCGAACTGAAGTCTTCTGAGTGAGCCCCTCCAGCATCCAAATGTGGACTTTTGTTCCTCTTCTTAAGTGCAAAATCACGGCTCCACTGCCAATAAATGAAATGTTAACAGGTCACTGAGCCAACTAGAAGGCGGACAAAGTCCCTGTGAGGGAATGATGTGCGCTAATAACGGCCTTTTAATGGTTTTATAATGTCCAGAACCAGAATCGGTTTTATTGCCCAGTAGGTTTATAACATATGAGGAATTTGAGGTTGTTTTGGTGTCAAACAGTAGAATACTGACGATTAGCAAAGGGTAAAAAGCTCAAGTGTTGCACATCAATAAGCAGAATAAATCATATTTATAGTGTGCAGGGATGTGCAAAGTAGCTGCCAGAGAACATGTGAGATCACATAGTCTGTAATGAAACAACTTGAAATGTGCAAATAGATAATGCTAGTCAAAAGCTGTGTGTTCATGTAACGCATTGAGTCTCTGTCAAATCAGGCGCATTACAAAATTATCACATGTACTTTTTTTTTTTTTCCTGGCTCACATTGCAACAAAGGTAACGGCTCCTTGTACCTTATATGGCAGTTATTTATGCACTTTTTATTTTTAACCATTAAAAAAAACTCCAATATGCTTGAGTAAACAAAAATTCAACTAATCAAACTACTTTAAAAATATATTATTGTTTTAATTATTCTTATCATCTTGTGTTTTTTCAGTGCTGCTGACTAAAACCCTAAATTGTGCAAATAAAGTTCCAAATACAAGTTTCTCTTTCACAGGTAGAAGTTTCAACACTGCCTCATCAAAACACAGTCACTGATGGGGAATTTTATTAATCAAATATGAAGAAAAAAATAATTTACTTCTTGCAATTTCTGGACTGAGACAAGCTCCAAACTTCAAAGCCTCCTCTTACTACAATTTGTGGTTTGCAAAGCTGAGAAGCTGCTAAAATTAAGAACAGACACACAGCAATGAACATGTTTGTGTCTCAACCAACTGTATTGTATGCACCAACAAAGTGAAGAACTTTGTGTGTTCTTTCCAGGCCTGTATTTTTTTGCATTGTTGCGCTTAACAAAAACCCCGCATCTCCCCTTATTCGTCTCCGGCAGTATGCAGGGAAGCAGCGTTGGATGGACTTTGAAGTGAGCAGCACCGATGCACTTCAAACAAGATCTCACACGCTTTGCATGTGTGCCAAGAGGAAGTGGGGAAAAAAAAAAAAAAAAAAAGTGCTTTTCTCTGCATCCTGATAGAGTGCACTCTGATCATCTGTTCTTCCATCTACCTCTCAAATCTGTGGCTTGGCTCCGCCGCTTCTCTCTGTAACATCAATGCGAAACAGCTCTGTGGAAGCGCCGTGTGAGCTGTTTCACAAGCGGCGGAATACAAGCGCCGCTGTGACCGAGGGCAGGAGAGTGTTTGATGCTCGGATGTACACAGGCTTTACAGAGTTTCAGATGTCACCACCTCAGTCTGTCACCGAACGACTACAAGGGAACCGAGTTGCGCTGAAAGGAGCGTGTTGTGATTCTCGGATGGCAGCGTCGTGTCGTGCAGATGCTGATGTGTGGGCCAATTCATGCTTTCCTGGACCGACTTGCCATCGCATAGCCTCTTGTTTCAACCCAGAATACCACAGCTACTTACAGATTATGTCAGTGAGTTTACCTGAGCTGTGTTAAGCACAGTGGATGGACATAGCACAGGATTTCTGGAGATTTTAGAACTTCCCCTGTCTTTGGGCTGCTTTGATGGAAAGCAACTAAAGCTCCTCCAAAGTCCTGCAGCAACTACTGCAGCTACATCTCTTGTAACGATGAACTACAAAAGGTGGGTGACAGAGAATCCCCCCGTCCAGCCTCTCCTCTAAACAAGTATCTGATTTGACACCATTTGGTTTCCTACCATAGTCCAAATAATCTACACAGTCACAAATTTCAGGATGTCCTCATAGGATTCAGATAGTATTTAACTGTGTTCATTTTTGAGAATTTTCTTACTTCTAGTCAAGTTGACTGGTCTAAATTTGAATTTCTGTTTAACCCTCTGAACCCTAACACCTGCTGACGGGTTTGAAAGACGTGTTATCTCCACCAAAATGACCAAAATGACACCATTTATCAGAGCTGAAAACTGCAAAAACAGAATCATCACATTATCATCTCTCTGACAGTGAACTAATCATGTGTGATGTGGAGTTCTAGAAAAATGAATGAAATCTAAGGTTAAAAAGGCATTTCATCCAAATCACTTTGGCAAAAATAAACCATTTGCATCGGATCCTGTAAAACACAAAACAATCTGCTCTCCTCCATGCAACCACAAAGCCACTGATGACTCAGCTTCAACCCACAGTCATGTAGCAACAACTCAGGGACTGTTCGGCTGAACTGCAGGCTGTGTTCACACAGAGCAGACAGGCAGACCGGTGTGGAAACAAATTAAAAATGAAAACAGCATGGTATCGACAGTATGTAAAGTCACCATTTCACATTCCCAGTTAGGGTAACACCTGTGCTGTAATTTTTTTCAGGATTTTTTTAGTTTTTAGAAAATAAATTATTACGGAAGCCGAGAGCGGTCATGGCCGCACATATTTTTAAACGGCATTTTCCCGAGATAACGAGATAATTATCCCGTTGACAGTTTCGGCTGTCACTTCAGCCTTCATCAGAAGTTGTCGGACTTCCTGGTGTGACGTATCTTATATAGACAGCTGACCGGGAACTCCGACATGACGTGTCATGAGAACAGCTGACCGGGCACGACAACTAACAATGAAGCGCTCGTGCCCGGTCTCGTCTGTCCTCCGGCCCCCCGCTGGTGACTGAGGATGGAATCCCAGGTGTGTGGGAGGTCCCACACACCTGGGATTACATCCTGGACCGGGCACGAGCAGGCAAACACAAACACCAATTATCTCATTTTCATGAGAAAACGATTCCTGTTATCCCGAGATAACAAGAAAATTAACTCGTTATCTCGGCGAAGAAAGAACAATAGTGGAAAACGACCGCTCTCGGCTTCCGTAAATAATCAAAGAAATTCTACTTTTTTTTTTTCAGTTTTATGATTTATGGCATATCTTCATTAATCAGCACAAAAGATATGTTTGAGTTCTGTCTACTTCGAGTCATGGTTGTGCTGTTTCCAAAGAGGTGCAGGACTTATACTGTAAAGTAAAAATGTGGCAGAGGATTAACCCACAGAGAAATCAGTCATTCAGAGCATCTTTTATGTCGTTTATTTTGACAATGATGGCAATAAAAGTTAAAACTACACTTCACTTTTGCACCTCAAATTCTTGCACAAACAAAATCTGTAATTTTAACTGCTATGTGATTGATACGTCCATCTGTGAGTAAATCATTGCAAGATACCGTGCACAAAGACTCTAGATGATCTGCTGTTGAACAATGTTGATGAGTTTGTATTGTAGCCTGCTGGCTAACACTGAACAAAGCAGGTAGGACACAAATACTTCCACACACATACAATGCTCGGGCTTGATTTAGATTTTTGCAAGATGACTTTTTGCTGCTGCTGCAGGGAGCAGCGGCGTGTGGTCTATTACAGTACAGATTTCAGCTCTAATATAGGAATAAATAATGCATGGCCGGGCCTATTTTGTTCTCTTTAACTTTTAAAGGCAACATAAAACAGTGTGTAAGAGGCCATCGCAGGTCAGACGGATATTCATCACGCAGCAGAAAAGCTGAAAACGAGCACATAAAACTCTGGACATATATTATCTCTGTAGGAGCAGAATGCATGCGTTGCTCTCACACACTGTGTTTAATCAACTAAGCAAACACAAAGCGAGGTTTTTTTTCCCAACCAGCATAATGAAATCACATATTTGAAAAAGTGTGTGCTGACCGTACCGAAGTGTAGAGGTAGCCCTCGCTGTTCATGGCAACGTAGAGCCCTGTCTTGGTGCTCTGGATGGCCACTATCCTGAGCCCCACAGGAATCAAGTTGAACTGCACTGCAAGAACACAGAGAGGGAGGAGCGACGTTAAAGCAAATCATTCTCCTAAACACTCCCAGCGCTTCCATGTGGCATAAAAAAGACAACAGCTGTGTCCTTTATTTTTTTTTCATACTCCCTGTTGCACAGTTTATCTGTCAAATAGTGTGAAAAAAAAATGGAGAAAAGGGAGGGATTAGGGAGGAGGGAGATTTAGGAGGAATTCAGTTTGGTACACTAGAGGTCACACAAACCTGGGGAGTGACAGTATGGAGGATACCCCTGCTGGAGAGAGAGAGATAGATAGAGAGAGCGCAGCTTAGCAGAGAGCTTTAAGAGTACAGTACAGTGGAAAGTGACATCTTCTGAGCCTGCTTTGAATTCATTTCCTCCGTCCCGACACAGTAAACAGCGCTTGCTAATGCAGTTTGCCGAATCCCCTCCTGTGGAACCTTGGATTTCTTATGTGCATAGCTCTCCATATAAACTACCTCCAAAGCTGGAACACACGGGTGCACGAGTGTGAGAACCTGAAGTTGTATATTTCACTCAGCGTGTACATGCACATGCTTGGCCGTGTGCGCATGCATATTTATTCTTTGCGGAACTCTTGACAGTGTGCCTTATAGGAGCCGACGTGGTAAGTTGAGCGATTCTGACAAAACGTCCTCTGGCTACCAGCTGTTCTGTGATCACAATGTCATGATGACCAAACACCACGGTGATGATTAAAGCCCCCGCAGCACTTGGATTGAATCAGGGATGAGAAAAACATGTGAGATCATCCACACAAGCATAAAAAACTATAAAAGTTAACCAAGGTGATAGTTTGTATGATACACTTTTGAAGCAGAGATAATATTCCTTTACAAGGTGCTTTAGAAAAAAAAAAGAGCAGCAATGAAACAAAAAGGAGACAATAAAGGAATAGAAAATGTTAAAAGGCATCAGTAAAGCTTCAGAAAAGACGTTGTAAAATATTATTGGAACACCGGTGTGTGCAGGTAAATGTGCAGGAATATAAAAATGACATTCTTATATCAGCGAGCATTTAGGAGTTCAGTATCTTGCTGACGGCTTTCGTTCAGCTCACAGCTGTCAGATCAAGCCTCTGGAAGGAGCATCAGATTCAATTTTTTTCTACCATCTTTTAATTTGTAAGCAAGTGAGGTTTATATTCAGCAGAAGTCGTTTTAAATGTGCTGTAATTAAAGTTAGAACCTAGATTTCAAAAGTGACATTTTTTTATATACAGATGAAAAATTAATCGTCAGGAGGCATGTTGTGGATTCCTGGAACATTTAGCTGCTATTGGATGAATTAATTTCAAAACAAAAGTTCTGCAAACAGAACAGATGAAGGTTAAGCAATCAGCAACATTTGAGCTCTTTCCAGGGGGAAAACACACATGCTTTAATTCTATTCAGGAAGTGTGACGCCAAAAAGGGCAGTTTAGCTTCTACTACCGTGTCACATTAAACAAGAGGAACGTCTGTACAGATAGCGCTGTGTGTTCGGTTTTAGGCTGCAAATGTTAAAAAGTGCACATGCGTCTCGCCCCCTCTCTCTCTCTCTCGCTCTCCTCTCTCTATCTTAAGGGCCCTGCTTCTATTTGCTCGATCGATCCCTGCATCTCAAACAGTTGGTTTCGCAAATGAACAAGGTGTCACCAAAGAGCACGGCCGGGATGACAAATAGAGCGGGGCACATCGCCTCCCGCCTTCCTGCCTGTCCCTCCTTCTTCCCTCTTGTTTCTCGCTCTCTTACATACATTAGTAGCCTCGGCGTGGTGTCGGTAACCCTGCGTGACCTGCTTCACCTCACAGAGGGAGGCGGCACTGTGCTGGAAGACGAATAAAGAGAGCAAGTGTGCAAGGGTCGTACTTTCACAGCTCCAAAACCAAAAATACAGTACATAACAACAGTGAGTACCTCCCTGTGCAATCCCCTAAATGTGTTTTATTGTATTCAAGTCAGGCGACATACTTGGCCAGATCAAAGATGTAAAGTTTTTTTTCTTTAGAAAGTCTCGTGTGATGTTGGCAGAGTGCTTTGGATCGTTATGATGCCAGAATATTCCTCCTGTGCCGAGCTTCCAGAGACGGAGAATCATCCAGTATTTAGGTGTATCCACAGACTTTCATGGTGCCATTTATAAATGTCAGCTCCCCAACACCTGTAGCCCTCATGAAGAGTCGTATCATCACATCCCCACCTCTTGTGTTTCACTGTTAGGAGCATGCATTCATTGTGGTAGTCCTGGTCGTGTTCATGCCAAACGCAATCTGAGCCCAACAAAGTTAGCCGGACCATCATCTAACCAAAGAATCTTCATTCATCAGGCTTCTTTTCATGTTATTTTGGCAAGCTTATTCTTGCCATTTTGTGCACCATCACAGGTTTTTTCCTCAGTCGATTTTAAGAAATGTCCTTCACACTGTCTGAGCATTTCCTTCGATTACCCCTGTGCCAAGTCTGAAACGCTTGCCTATGTTGGGGCATGGGTCAAGGTGGATATATGTTTTTGTCTGTTTGGGAGCAGGATGAAAAGAAAACATTGCCAGGTTCAACACAGTAGAGGCTTGGACCTGGAAACAGTGTTATAGGAGAGTCGATACATCACCTCTTCAAAAGCCTAGATCTATCGACATAGACATAGAGATGTAGCTTCAGCAAAAAGTGGTCCTAGAGAGGAAATAATGGCAGCCTTCATAATAAAACTAGACTACAAATAAGGCATTTCAGGCAGCGTTTTCTGTGGGAGGTTGTGGTTTAAAGTTCAGTTCAAAACCCCAATGCAGTACACTAACTAAGATAGGATGAGCAAGAAGCAAAGTTTACTTCAGTTGCTGTAAGAAATCTGAGAAATCCAGAGAGGCAACAAAAACATGGGGAAAAGCCTCAGACACAAAAATCCAGAAACAACAGAATGATAAATAAAAACTAAACTAAGCACTAACCAGACTGACATGAGGAACAACAGGAAGAACTGAAGCATGGAACAGAGAAACACACAGATTGGGTGGCGAGACGCAGGATAAACCAATGAGGATGGGACAGATATTAAAAAAGGCGGGAAAACACACAAAGGAAGAAGATGAAACTACTAGAGATGTACAAGGTAAGAACGGAAAACACAGGAGACATTATCCGTACCATAACAGACTAGTACTACACTAGAAGACAGTAAAAGACATAGAAATGCTTTCCTTGTTTGTCTTTAACTTTGTTCTTAAGTGGTAAAGGGGACATTAAAAAAGGCGGGAAAACTCACAACGAGAGAAGGTAAAACAACTAAAAATGGAAGGTGAGAAAATCAAATATATATCATGTGTATGTAGTGATTAAGCGCACATTTGACATCCCTTTACATGTTTTTTACACAAGTCTGTTGACAACTTTTAAAAGTCAGTCAGAGAAAGTGTTTACAACCATTTCGTGAGTCTACACCTAGCTAGCAACAGCTGATAAAATTTGATAAGGAGAGTAATTTCAGCCTAGGAAATTGATAGCATTTCCTAGAAAATGAGCATCCTGCTTTTATCTACCTCTGTCTGAAATCCTGGGCCCATATTGTTTGGAAAATAACTCAGAATTTTGAGTGGTAAATATGCCCCCCCGCCATATCATTGCAACCTGAAATCTTGACAGGCGTAGCAGCAGTAGCAGGGCTTAGCAAACGGTCAATTACTTCCCACTTCTCACTTTTGTTTCCCTCTCCTTTCCATCTTTCTCCCCCCTTTACAAGAGAGTTTACTTCCATCCTCACCCTCCATCAAAAAGAGCTTCTGCTTATCACATGGATCACATAACTGTCTGCATGGGTAATGGAGGCATCCCATTCCTCTTCCCTTCTGCTTCATCCCCCCCTTCCGTCCTTACATTTGAATCACTTTTTTTTTTTCATTCTCCCCCCAGCAGCACAGAGGAGACTGCGAGATTAATCAAGTCTTTTGAGGGGAGGGAAAAGGAGAAGAGGGGGAGGGAAATAAAGGCGAGGGTGTTGCCAAATCAATCCCACGAGTCAATTTGAGGCTTGAGATCATCTACACAATAAATAAACAAGGAGAAAGTGGAGATGGGATGAGGGGGACAGGGAGGCTGAGCACGGAGAGGCGGCGGCAGGACGCTGAGTTAAGCTGTGCAGAGGGCATCTGCAGGCCTGCACGCTGCGCTGCCGCTCTGCAGTGTTGCATTGTGGCGCTCAGTCGGTCTCAACTGGAATGAGAACAGGACTACAGTCATCTGTGAGGAATCACACAGAGTTGAACTTTCAGAGAGACACCTTCTGTTGTTTATTCTGTTGTGAAGCTGATTGAATGAGAGTGTCGTGATGTGATAGCTGCTTAGGCATCTGAAATGGACTCAAGCGGGATGCACTGAGCAGGATTCCCTTCTCTCTCCGTTGCCTCTGTTAAATGAAAAAGTCTTTTTTTTTTCTTTTGAAAAAAAGGCCACCCAAAAAATCCTGAAATGAACTCATTCTGTGATAATCTTTGCAGTCATGTCGAATAAGATAAAAAGTCGCAGTGGCTGGACATATTAAAGATGAAGTTCTCTTCATTAAATTGGCTGAGAACTGCTTAATCGAAGCATCAAGAAACTGAATTTTGTGACATAATCCTAAAGCTGAGCTAAACGAAACACCATTGTCATACTCTAAGTGCTGACTGAAAGTGGCTAACGAGGTATTAACTTTATTACTAGTTCATATGTAGACTTTGTGGAGTGAACAAAACAGGTACAATAAGCCACAGATGCTGTCGATATTGGAGATTCTGGATCATGACGAATGAAAAGACGCTGGTGCAGCAACAGGTCCACTGAGATGTGACAAAGGGATGCATGGAGATATTTAGGTTTGAAGTCAGATGATCAAGCACAAGTTATAGACTACAAAAGGTAGGATGCATCCATTATCTATATACCGCTTAATCCTCATCAGGGTCACAGGGGGGCTGGAGTCTATCCCAGCTGACTTAGGGTGAAGGCAGGGGACACTCTGGACAGGTCGCCAG